TCTTGTGGCAGCAACAGACCAAGGAACTCCAGGAAAAGATAGCCAATGCAGAGACACGTAATGTGGAACTGAGAGCCTCTGTCGACCCTGATGTAGCCCATGAGCTAAAGAGCACTATTGATTTCATTGACGTGGCTCAAAGACTTGAAACAGAACTTGCAACCGCCAGGCTCGACCAATCTCTTTGTGAAGCTTGCATTAATCACCATCTGGACACTTTCTCCAAGTTAAAGTCGAAGAGATTGGGTAAGGGGGTTGGTTACAGGGAAGGTGTTAGCACCTAAAACGTTTATAGTACTCTATAGGAACCTCTTTGAAAAATCTATGTTTTGTTTGTTTGAAATGTTTGCTTGAATTGAGATTGAGGAGATGAGAGGAGAAATATATTTTAAGATTTTTGTATTTGGAGAGACGTTTTGAGCCTCATGCCTACGTACCCATAAAGTGCAATATAAGATCAAAACTTTGTAGTTCGTGGTACAAATAACAAAATGGATTTGTTATGATTCATTTTAAATGAAAAGACAAGTCTTCATTTTAAGGAGAAAACTACGACTAGTCACCACAAGTATAAGAAAACAACATTTTCATCATTTTAAGATGAAGGAGTTTTGCTTGGATAAAAATCAACAAGTCTATCACTCAACATCTAAGTGAAAAATGTCAACATCTTAAATACTTCAGGGAATAAGAGAATTACATCTCAACTATGAAAATGACTCATGTCTAAACTTTATGAAAAGTTTTAAATAAAAAAGTGTACAAAGACACAAAATGGTTGAATGAGTTTTTTTATTGTTTATGTCTTTTTTGAAATGGTTAAAGTATGTTTAAAGTTGATTGGCATTTATTTAAGAAAAAAATAAGTTTTGAAAATGCCCTTGACAAAAGTTAATGTTTTTTTTTATAAATAGAGGTTATAGTTTGAAAACAAGAAAATTTTGAAAAAGGGAGAAGATTTAAAAATTGAAGAAGGAGAGAAGATGAAGTGACTATCCTATTGCTTAAAAATAAAAGCTAGGGACAAAGAAAAATTTAACCACACAAGGAGCAGACACTTGACAAAAAGTCAACATAAGCACTCCTTTCCTTTTTGGACTTAAGCCATAAACGTAATAACCAGATGAATTAAAACATCAGAGGGAGTCCCAAGTTAAGCAATAACAAAGTCAAAGTAAGGTCTTCCCAAATGTTAAAATCCAATTAGGGGAGTCATGCATCAGATGATTTTCACAAAGTCAAAGTAAATACATATGCACACAAAAAATTTCCCAACAAACAGACAAAGGCAACACAAAAGGTCTAAGGTCTCAAATCTTCAAGAGCACAAGACAAGGATCCTAGATATAAGTCCAAAGTCCAAGTCCAATCACAAGGTCACAACAGTCAGAGATTAAGAGAACCAAGTTTTTTAATGTTTTGATATTTATTAGTGTCTTACAAGAAAGAAAGTCCAAATGGACAAAATAAAAAGGGCATAATCATAAACAAAGGTCCAAGTGGACAAAGATAAAAACAAGATGATAATATGACATACTAAAATAAAAGCATAAAAGTAAATGAAAAGAAATAAAGAGAGAAAATTAAATGGCACAAAGTAAAGTTAGTGCAATAATGGTGATCAAAAGGTTAGTATTAATGATAAGGAACATTTTGTCATTTTTTGGAGAACACTCGACTATTCATCCATAAGCATGAAAACATGAATGTATACATCATTAAAAGAAGGGCCCTAACTTGGATAAAATCGACAAGTATGCCACTAGCTCCCATGAATGACAAAGAGACAATCTATTTCACACCACACTATGAAGAGTATGAGACTGACACTCTCGCTTACAAAAATGACTTGCTTCCGATTCGGGACAAAATGTAGTGCTATGTTAAGCAATCTTAGCAAAACCTATGAAGAAGGTCATACTATGGGAGGCCGATCAATACAATATTTGTGCTAATATAAGCTAGAGAAATGACATATAAGTCAATCTCTAAAAGCTTGCCACACTAAAAGAAAAAGAGGAATAATTTCATCTTAATCAAGAACTTAAAATAACTTCTATGATGTTTAAGATTTTCATTGACCAAAAGAAAAAGAAGAAAGGGGGATAAGGAGAACCAAATTGAATCACATCATTTTGATCATTCCATCTTCAATTTCCACCACTCTTCTTGGTGGATTAAAGTACTAAACCTATCATTAATTCAAAGCACCTAAAATGAATTAAATGATTCACTTAAATATATATTTGAACCAATGAAGGTTTATCCAACTTCATCAAATACCCAAAGTCCATGGAATTTAAAGATAAATTTGATTAATAAAGCCATAATTCAAGGTAAAATAAAGGAAAAAGGAAGAAAGAAGAAAAGAAACCAAAACAATCCCAAAAACATGCTAATTACCGCCTTTAGCCCAGGTGTAATCGATTACACCATATGTGTTAATCGATTACACCGTGAAAATCAACACATTCAGGGGCGCAACAAGGGGTGCAATTGATTACACCCGTAACAACAACATAAATAGAGTTTTTAAAGGCACTTTTCCATGATCTCTTATGCATTTAAACACCAAATGATAATGTGATCAATTAAGCACGAAAATCAAAACAATTAACATCAAATAATCACTAATGCAAGCAAATAGATCGAGAAAACCACAAATTACAAGAGATTACACGATGAGAGACGTGAATTAAGCCCAAACAGTGATGATTCAAGAATTACCAATCAAATCTGAATTTGCTCCAAAATCAACTTCAAACCTCCAAAGCTTAGATTCAACAAAATTGATGAAGAAAAAGTGTTTTAATGGAGGTTTACCTCAAAGATCAACAGGTTTTGATGAAAAACTTGTTAACTTTTAATGGAAAGAGCTCTAGTAATGGTTGAGGAAGATGAAAAATGGAAAGAGTGAAGAATTCAAAAAGTGAGAGAGAATGAGAATTGATGAGTAGAAAATTCAGAAAATGATGGCAAATCCTCTAAGAATGGGAATAATTTGTTTAAATAGAGAATAGGTTTGAAGCACAAGGAGGCTTGAAAGTTGGCATGGAATCTAAATCAAATATCATTTGGTTTAAAATGGGTATGGAAATAAGGGTGTATGGTGCAATTAAATCATGATGAGGTATGGGAATGATGTGGCTATTATTTGTGATGATTTTCCTGATCTAGAATATTCCACCTGATGTAAGAGTGAATCAATACAAGTGAAATCAAGAGTAAAATGGTGTAGGACTAAAAAGATGTTGATTTTGGCCAATCTGCCAGGGTTTAATCGATTACAGGTATAATGTTAATCGATTACATGCTTGAAAAGTTAAAATATGCACCTTTTTGAAGGGGTGTAATCGATTACACCAATAATGTTAATCGATTACACCAATAATGTTAATCGATTACATATGTGAAAAAGTAAAAAAGTTGCCTTTTGCTGCATTGCTTTGGTCTTGGCTTGAGGTTTACTTGTTGAAGAATGTATGAAAATAAACATATGAACCTTTGACTTTCTTGAGAGACAAGTTAATAAACCTTGAGACGTTCTTGATCAAAATGAGCTTGAATAATGCTGAGGAACTAAGCTTGATCCTTGATGTCTTCCTTGCCTATTAAACAACAGGAACAAGAGGAAACAAAGACATATTTTTGGTGTTTTAATTAGGGGTTAGTAAACATAAACAAACATAAAGCAAGTAAGAAACACAAGGGTGCTTGGTGATCTCCCTCAGAATCAAACTTACAGAAGAGGGCAAGAGAACCGAAGCTTCTGATCTTGTTTGTGACGCACATATGCAAATGATACGTGGAATCTTAGGGGTGAAAATTAGGGTATTACACTTACTTATCTCTTCTGTTATAAAGATCTTCTTGTCTAGTTGAGCAGTGCCATCGTCATTTGCAACAAGTTCATTTTTTGGTTCTCCATCAACTCCCTCATCAAACACTTCATCAAACCCTTTCATTCTCTCCTCCTCACTATCATCAAAGTGAACACCTCTCACAGATTCATCACTAGCTTCACTCGACCTATCACCATCTTCATCACATTTGATTCCCTTTTCTTTCTCTCTAAACCTATCCATAAAGGTAACCTCTCCTGTAACTTTAGTTTCACAGAATATCTCAACCTCACACTTATTTCCTACAACATAAATGACTAACTCAGAAGCATCTCCATCATCCCTAAATGGTTTTAAGTCTTGTTCAAAGGATCCTTCATCATGTTTCCACCACATCTTAACACAACCTACATCAAACTCAGGTTCAATCAACTTAACTAGATCACATGCTTCAAAGAAATACCAATAATCAGGATCTTGGCCACTAAAAGCATATACTTCCCCCCTCATATCTTATGTTAGGGTCTCTTACAAAACAACCCATTAAGTAAAATACAACCTTGAATTTATCCATTTCCTATTCACAAAATTTAACCTAAATTTAAAATTTACCAAAACTCTGTCAAACTGATTTACCCTAATTTTTTCTAAAATTGACACCAAAATTAGGTCAAACATATCAAACATATTCACCAACAATCTAACCTATTATACGAATGATAACAAGATCCAACATATTAAATAAACTGGAACTACTAAGAAAACGAAGATGACACATAATAAGAAAGGAGAATTATTATTATTAATTAATTAATTAACTAATTAGCTTTTAATAAGATACACCTACAAAACGTTGCGTTTTGGTTCGGACTATGTTATGGCGTGCCTATATCATTTCTTTCTCTCTCTTCCTTGTATTTTGTAATTTGTCCCAAATCTCCGTCTTAGGGTTTCACTCGCAAACTCTATCTCTCTCCGAAAAGGTACCGATCCTTCGACGGAGCATCAGATCCGCCACCGCTTCTTCATCTTTCGCCACCGATTCGTCAATTTCGATTCTCTTTTCCATACGATTTCACAGTTTCCGAATCTCAACTATCCTTTTTTCTTACATTGCATTGCAGGTTGGTTGCATAAGCATTCCTAAGCTTTGTGAAAATGAAGCCGATCTTTTGCGGAAACCTGGATTTCGACGCAAGACAATCTGATGTCGAGAGGCTTTTCAGAAAATACGGCAAGATTGATAGAGTGGACTTGAAGTCTGGTATGAATTCTTCATCATTTGACTGTAATAATTTTAATTTTTCAGTTTTTTTAAAGGTTTAGTTGAAGTCTTAAGTTTGAAGTGCTGTTTTTGTAGCTCAATTAATGATTTATTAGATTTTCTTTTACTATAGTTTATGATTTTCAATTGGAAGTTTGGTATATTGGATGATAAGTAGTATTTTGTTGGCGGCTTGCTTTGTTGTGCTGAGTTTACTGTAGTTTTAGTTGGATAGATTTGGTGCTCAAATTGGATTTATAGAGGTAAGTTCCGTTGCTGAAAAAGCAGTTTCACAGATTGGTGATTGGTGGCGTTACATCATGGATGGCGGTGTTGGATGAATTTGAAGTCAAGATCAAAGTGTCCTTTTGTGTTGAGTTGAAGTGGGGTTATAGTACTGTTTGGAGGAAGGAAAATGTTATGTACAACCATTGAAAGCACTTGTATTTCAAAGAACTCATTGACCCTTTTTCAATATCACTTTGGATGTGTGCACAGTGCACCCTAAAATATTTTTAAAAGAATTGAAAAAATGAAGAGACAATTTGTTTGCTTGGCATTCACACAAGATGCTAAGTAACAAGTGTACCAGAGCTGATATTTTCCTGTCTTTGGCTTTTGATTTTTAAACTTTCTGTTCTTGAATTTCTATTGGAGCTCGCCTTCATCTCCAACTTTGACTTCTGTACTTGAATGATTCTTAAAAGGGTCAAGATGATGTTCTTTGACTAGTTACTTTTAAATGGATCTACATTTTCTTTTCCTCTAAAAAGAAGAAAAACTGTCAATAAGATATGAACCCCCCCATACTCAACAATTTCTTTGTGACAGGATTACTTGGAAAGTTGGAATGTCCATGCTCTTGGATGGATGTGCTTCTCTGCATTTCTTTTATAGAATGTGCCCCAGCTTCTCCTTCTTGTATTTTTCCCGAAGAAATAATCTGATCCGCTCTAGCCTTGCCATTCTGCATTCCCTCAGCATTCATTGCTTTTTCATTCCTCATGACTTTTGCTCAGTGTTCAATTTCCGACATGTTTCAACATATAAACCATGATGAATTCGCAATGGGGCAGGTGTTGTGGTACTTCCTGACAGTTTATTTCTGTTTTATGTTGAATTTATCTCTCATATCTGATATGCTGATATAACATTCCTCTCTACACCATCTTCAAGGAGTCCTCAAATATTGAAATCAAAATTTTCCGTGATTTTATTTTTAATATTCTTGTTTCGTAGGTTTTGCTTTCGTCTACATGGAAGACGAACGTGATGCCGAGTATGCAATTAGACGGCTTGATCAAACAGAATTTGGTAGAAAGGGGCGCCGGATTCGTGTCGAATGGACTAAGGTACGCTGTAATTGTGAACTGCATTAGGAGTTGCTAAACAATGTTTTTTCATATGCTGCATTATCATGTACTTCACGTAGTTACTTTAAAGCTTAACACTTGAAGATCATTATGGCTATAATTTATTTTGAGAAACTTCTGAACAAATTTTGTTAGATTTTAAAGATGGTGCCTGAATTTTTCATAAGAATTGCTATACTTTCGGTGCATGTTTTCATTTGTCATGCATGTTTTCTTATGTTCTTTTCTTAATGAAGGATTTTGGAATTATTTAGGTATTTTTGGCATTGTTAACGTACGCATAGTGTTATTATATTATGATTTGTAGCAAGAGCGTGACAACAGAAGGTCCGGTGGTGATTCAAAGAAATCTTCAACTAATACAAGACCATCAAAGACTTTGTTTATTATAAATTTTGATCCTGTTCACACCAGGACAAGGGACTTAGAGAGACACTTTGATCCCTATGGGAAAATATCAAATTTAAGGATCAGAAGGAATTTTGCTTTTATCCAGTTTGAAACCCAGGAGGAAGCTACTAAAGCTTTGGAAGCAACTAACCTGAGGTTGAAATTAGCTTCTCAATTTTGAATTGTTATTGTTTTTCCATGTAGAAGTTTTATCCTTTAGAAACAGCGCATTCCACCACCTTAGTGGAGATGAGTGAGGGTGAGGGGCTATATATTATATATTGATGGCTCATTTGTTATATATATGATTTGATTGATGTGCAGCAAGTTTATGGACCGTGTTATCACTGTGGAGTATGCTATAAGAGATGACGATGTAAAAAAGGATGGATACAGTCCTGATAGAAGAGGTCGTGGTTCCCCTGATGGGAGGTATGGTCGTGGCAGATCTCCAAGTCCTTATCGTAGAGGTAGGGCTAGCCCTGATTATGGTAGAAGTAGGGGTAGCCCTGATTATGGTCGTGGATCAAATCCAGCTTCCAGACCAGAACCAAGAGGAAGCCCCAAGTATGAACGAGCTGAAAGCCCAATGAATGGGAGATATGATAGGTATGATCCAATTAATTTGGAATTTATTTGGTGGTGGTTATTGTTTTTGTTGTTATATATACATATATTTCATTATATTTTGATTATTTTACCGTACATGAAGTCGATCTCCTCCACCTCGTGGATCAAATCAATCTTCCAGACCAGAACCTAGAGGAAGCCCTGAGCATGAACGGGCTGAAAGCCCAATGAATGGGAGATATGATAGGTATGATCAATTTAAATTGGTATTCTTTTTTGGGTTGGTTTTGTCTATATCTCATTATAATTTGATTATTTTACTGTTCACACAGCCGATCTCCCCCACCTCGTGATAGGTCAAGATCCTGAGTAGTAGCTGAGTAGAACTGTGTGTAAAATTGTTGCTGGACCATTTTTATTTCATTTCCAACTTACGTTAGTCCATATTTTGGCAGCAAGAAAGTTCGAACTTGAACTTGTTGTATTTACTCTCATGTTTGTTAGAGTCTAATGTGCAATCTGCAAAGACATTATTATATTAAATACAGTCATGTCACTCATCACGTATTCATGGGTTTTCTTTTCTAAAATGATTTTCTTTTGAAAATGATTTTCTGTATCCTTAGTTTGAACCGAGGGAAATCCTCTTCCTCACGTGTTCATGTGTTTTCTTTTTCTAAAATGATTTTTTTTGAAAATGATTTTCTTTATCCTTAGTTTAAACCGAGGGAAATCCCCTTCCTCGTTGCTTGTTCATATATATTGATAGGAGCCATGAGCCCTTCTTTAGTGACTTTCTCGGTTTAGTTGTGTATACACATCTTTGCTTATTTTGTTTCTACTTTTTATATCACTTTTTCTAATATTGTTTTAGCAAATAAAATTTATATCACTTTTTCTAATATTGTTTATATATCACTTTTTCTAATCTTTGCTTATTTTGTTTCTACTTTTTATATCACTTTTTCTAATATTGTTTTAGCAAATAAAATTTATTTTAAAATAATTGTCATTCTCTTTTTCTATATAGCAATAATTACAATTTTTTCAATTGTCTTTTAATTATTACTCTGAATATTATTTTTAATACTTCAATGTTAATTTAGTAAGTGTCGCATATTATGACATTATTGTATTTATTATTTTGTGCAAAAATTTTAAAATTTTAAACTTAATGTCAGGCATTTTGAGAGAATGTATCTTTTTGCATATTATTGTTCAGAATTTTGGATTTCATTCAATAGTGTTTTTTTTGTTACAATAGTGTATTTGTTTTAAGTTTACTTTATGGTGGCCATTTGGCTCTTGACAGTTTCTCTTTGGTTTCATCCGACATTGAGCAACATATTATTAAAGAGTATGTTTCAAGTAGCATCCGGCAAGGTTGATCAAACAGTTGTCTCATTTGCTGTTTGTTTTGAGTTTTTTTATTCTTTCTTAAATTTATAGTCTGACTTGTCTCAACCTAAAGTTTGGAGTCCGATAGTAATATTAATTTTATTTATTTATTTAATTTGTGGTTTTATTTGATGAATGATTAGTTTTGGATGGACATGGTATGCTGTTGTCTGTAGTCGATTAAATAAATTTTGTAAAATGTCTTGCCCTTATTTAGGCTTTCTTATAGCCTAAACAGGGTTTACTCACGAGTTTAACTCGAGTTTAACTTGATATCCCCTTATAAGTTAGGATAATTTTTTAACACACCCTATATGTTTCTGCATAATAATTTTTTAACACACCCTATATGTTTCTATGTTTCTAATGCACTATATGTTTCTAATGCACGTGAAAAAATGTCTCGTTTTTTGAAGACTATCTTTGAACATATATATATATTATAAATTTTCATAAACACTTAAACATTATTAATTATAAATGAAGTAAAGAAAACAACCTTTTTCATCGGGACAAAAGTAGTATCATCATTAGCCAGCCACATTCCAATTACGAATTCTTCCGGGGCTCGGCTACAATTTCTAATGCTTCTCTTTCCATAGCCATGAGTCGTTATGCCTCTTAGTGAAGATGGGAATCTGTCATATACAATATAACCTTGAGGAGGATCTTCAGCAAAGTTGGTCATTCTCACTCATCAACAAATATGCTAATCACAAATGGAAAATAATTTTTAATCATACAATTGCAATGTAATTTAAAAACGAATGAAATGTGTATAAAAAATGAAATGTGTATATTCAAATATGTTTGAAGATGCATATCTAGACATTTCTAATAATTTGCACAGTATAAAATTTACATAGGACATTAAAAACATAGTAGACGTGTTGAAAAATTGTCACCAAATCAATGTATAGCTGAGCCACACCTGTCTAATGCATCTTTGTAACAAATATGGATATTCACTTTTGTAATCACCTTTTTTTAGTGGTAAATTTTATCATTTTAAAAAAAATACATCAATGTAATAAACTATGTATTATAATTATACTATCGTAATAGTTTTTCTTATAAGTTAAATTATACACAAATCAATTTTGATGAAAATGTCTTATATAAATAAATAAATAAAACTTGGATCCATAATACAGTCAAAATAACAAATTAACAAATAACAATAATATCCATAATCTCTAATACAAATGCTATATTACTGTATATGTCAGACTTCCATGTTTCTTTCCTATCTCATGTAGTGCAGTGTCGCACGTGCCTCTGGTAGAATGACATACAATGGCCTATCCAGAAGTGTCTTTTGGAAAGTTTTTTCTATGACATGCAGGTAACACATCAACATCATGATATGCCATAACCCGCTCATTCTCTAACATCTTTTGATGAATTGGTATATGTGGTTCTCCCTCATCATTTGGCATCATGTAAGGAAGTGACACACTAAAATACCATTAGACATATCGTAATGCATATCTCCATTTGCTAGGAGCTACGACACCCTATGCTTCAACTAAAATTAAATGATTAAGGAAATTATCATCCATGGCATCTACATCTTTGCAAACTATAGTAGAAGGAGTAGATACATAAGGATCTCTTGAAAAACCTGCATATACCTGAATTGACGTATGACTCATTCAGGCAGATGTGGATACATTAGACGTGACCTAAAAACCAACCATCCAAAGTAGAAGGCTATATCATCCAAGAGACACGTTTGACAGTGAAACTCATATGACCTGAAGCGTATATCATCTGCTAAAGTGTGGTCCAGATACTGTTGTGAATCAGATACCTTGAAACAAAATATAAACTGTTTTTTTATATTCAAGAAACACACAAGGGTTAGGATTAACAAAGAAAACAAGTAAGAAGAACAATAAGAAACAACAAGGATTGATTATAAACTGTTATTCTTTCCTTTCTCTATCAAACAAGATTACAAGTATACAAGAATAACAAATAATCTCTCTCTATTGAATTAAGATTTTATCTTCCTATTTTTCCTTATTCCAAAATGAGAGACTAGCATGCTATTTATAAGAGAATTAACACACTAACCTAATGAGCTTTTTAACAATTACCCATTACAAGCTAACTTAGGGTACAAAATAACTTAAACAATTTGGGCTTACAAGCAAGACCTAATTCAACATGCTAACAAACCTAGCAATATTGACTAATGCATGTTAGAACAAACTTTGACTACAACACACATTACTCGCAAACAGACTTCGACCATACTAGAGTTCAATCCAATATCTCACAAATCTCCACCTTGGATCTAACTCTATAACATCTAGACACTAGCTTTCTTCATGCAGCTTTATCAACTGCATATAGTGGAAAAACTTGCAACTGAGTAACGTCTTGGTGATCGTATCAGCATCATTATGATCTGTCGAAACCTTCAGCACTTGGACTTCTCCACGTTCGATTACCCATTTGACGAAATGCAGTCTCACATTAATGTGCTTGGTCTGCTCATGATAGGTTGAATTCTTCGACAGGTATATTTCACTTTGACTATCACATTTAACAGTGATAATTCGACCTTGAAGTTTAAGCTCTTTTGCAAAACCTTCAAGCCACAATGCTTCCTTCACAACTTCAGGGATAGATAAGGCAACAACCTTCTAAAGTGTTGCTTTCCAACTGATTGCTGTCCCAAACATAATGAACACATATTCAGAAATAGATTTTCTGGAATCCATACAACCTGCATAATCAGAGTCGACATATCCTTCAATTGCTGCTTTACTATCTTCACCCAAGGCTCCACCATAAATTAGAACTCTATTCAGAGAACCATTTATGTACCTTAGAATCCACTTCAATGCTTGTCAGTGAGCCTTTCTAGGATTCACCATGTACCTGCTTACAAGACTTACTGCATATGCTATGTAGGGTCTAGTACATACCATAACATACATTAGAAAACCCACTATTTAGCATATTGAATGCTATTCATATAATTTCTTTCAACATCAGTGCTGAGACACTGATCTATACTCAGCTTGAATTGAGAGTTTGTCTGAGTCACAACAGGCTTTGAATTCAACATACCAAACTTTTCGAGAATCTTTCGTAGGTATGCCACTTGAGGTTAACATAATTTCGAATACTTTCTATCTCTTCAGATGTCAATCCCAAGAATCCTGGACGCAACTTCCAGATCCTTCATGTCGAACTCCTTATTGAGTTCAACCTTCACCATCATTACATCTTCAATATTGTTGCTTGCTATTAGAATATCATCCACATAAAGCAACAAAATAACAAATGAATTACCAGGTCAAAATCTGAAGTAAACACAGTGGTCGAACTGACTTCTAATGAACCTTATGTGTGCCAATAATTTGTCGAATCTCCTATTCCCCTGCCGAGGAGATTGTTTCAGTCCATATAAGGATCTATTCAGCTTGCGCACATAATCTTCCTTCCCTTTTTCGACATATCCTTCAGTTTGCCTCATAAGAATTGTTTCATCTATATCACCATACAAGAACATAGTCTTCAGATTCATCTATTTCAGTTCAAGGTCGAACTGAGCCACCATGGAAAGAAACATTCGAATGGATCTATACTTCACAACAGAAGAGAACACATAATTGAAGTTGACATCTTCTTTCTGAGTGAACCCCCTAACGGCCAATCTTGTCTGTATCTCTTCGATGCCACTCTTTTGATTCCTTCCTTAATTTTAAAAATCCATTTAAAGCTGACTAACCTGGATCCAGAAGGTTTCTTAATCAGTTCCCAGGTGTTGTTATCATGAAGAAATTTCATCTCATCATCCATGGCCTTCAGCCATTCAGTCTTCTTTCGACTCCTCATAACTTCTTTATAGTTTCTAGGTTCTTCGTCTAGAACCTCACTTGTAGAGATTAAAACATAAGCTATAAGATACGCATACCCAAGTCTTTGAGGTGGCTTGATGACTCTCCTTGACC